TACATCTCAAGCTCGCATAGTATCACCACGATCTCTTCCTGTAGCCTTCTGAGTTGCCTCACGCCAATCGACTTCCGAGAGATGACGTCGAAAAGTTGCATAGGCCAAATAGCGTTTCACGGACGTGCGCGTCCATGATCCCACGGATTGCAACTGGAAGTATCTGCGTCATCAGCACGTGACAGTCGTGAGACTTCATCCCGCTGAACTTCTGCTTCGCTGGGTCTAGGTATCTGATTATCTTCCCCGCGTAACCGTAAGGAAGTTTTACTCCTAGGAGGCAGGTGAAAAACTGCTCGATCTCCTCCTGACTTAGAGTGAAGCACGCGGGAGGGTAGTCATTTCCGGTCTTCTTGGCCTTTTTGCCTTTGCGACGACTTTCCGTGTCCTGCTTCGCCTCATCATCATCATCATCATCATCATTAGCGTGAAGCTCCTGCCTGATGCCCATTGATTTCAAGTCTGCCCTTGCTTTCGGCCCATCTTTGGTCCTCTGGCATGTTGAGCAGGGTACCAAGCAGACTCTCGCACACGTTCTTCGTGATATGCATGACATCAAGACTGTGAGGCACACGGTGGATCTTCCAGTACGGCAAGTCCCAGAAAACAGACCTCGTTTTCCATACCTTCAGCAGCGGCTCTGGCGCCTTTCGCTTCTTTCCCGGCAGTGGGCAGTCTTTCCAATTTTTCAACAGCTTGTCTATTTCCTCGCCGCTCCTCGTACACGGGCGTTTTCGGGGTTCGGTTTCACCATCGAACAGATCCTTGCGTTTCCTCCACGGGTCATCGTCGCGAAGCCACCTTCGATGTCCCATGAACACGGTTTTCGAAGACCCGGGATCTCTATCTAGCTGGCGATACGTTGTGTCATCCATGCACCTTACGCGTCCAGAAAATCCGTGGACTACCTGCCCCGCGAGATATCCGTAACCGAGATAGTCGTGCACCGTCGTGAGCAGTGCGGCTCTCATAGGGAAATATTCTTTCTCTGCGGCGTCCCACGTATTGGCTGGCGTTTTCCACAGCATGTCAAGCTCCTCTTTCAGCAGCCCCAGATACAGATTGATGTCGTTCCCTGGTTGTTTCGGCCCTTCAATTAGCATATTCATGTGAATGTACTTCCTCTTCATGCACAATCAGGGGGGAAGGTTGTACATCCACACAAACACAGGCCAGGTGCTATGTGTGCTTCTCTGGCTGCCAAACGGATTGACTCCATTGGTGCTCGCGCCCAGCACGATGTTCCTTGGATCGTTCCCAAATTCTGGGTATTCGAAGTTCAACGCTTGCCACTGGCTCGCATCCTTAGGGTGACTCAGCATCTTGTCTTTTTTATCTATCTCCGGATCATTTGCGTCATCTTCTCGCTTCTTCTCCTCCCTATCCGCGTGCCAACGCAGGAGCTTTGCTACCTTAGGGTCCGCGAAATACCGCTGCAGACGAGGAGTGATCGGAAAGTACCACACCGATTTTCGAGGAGCTTTCTTCCTCTTCTTGTATCGAGTGACGCCGCACACCGGACATATGGTAGACTCCGCATGCTCGTCCCGATAAATGATGCAATTGTTCATGCACACATGGTATTTCACGTGCGGTAAATCCAGAGGACACACGATTTTCTTTGCCTCCTCGAAACTGGTCGGGCACTTGTTCCCCTTGGGAAGACGTTCGTGCCAGAATGACATGTTCTCGTCGAAGCATGCGTCGGTCATTTTGTGTTTTACCTTCATCTCCAGAGCCATGAGCGTTATTTTCAGGCGAGTATCCTCGGGCCTGCATCCTTCATACAATGGAGTAACCGCGTCTATCTCCAGTTGATCCAGCTTGGCTTTCTCTCGGGCGGCAGCTCTTGCGTTATCCGTCCGCTTGAGAAGCAGCTCTTGAATATGAGGGTCCTGCACCCAGCCTCCATCGTCGTCTGCTCCGGCATCTTCATCTTCATGATCATTCCCTTCGTCTTGATCTTCCTCATCATCATGTACGACATCTTCTACATGATGACTGTGTACAGCATCACCGTCGTGATCATGTCCTGGAGATTCTTCGTCTTCTCGCCCGCCCTCGCCGCGGTGGTACTTGTCTTGTTGCCTTTCCTCATTTCTTGCCCGGCCCCGGCCATGGACGACTTGATAGTCATCTTCATCACCTTGCCACCGATAGCCATCCATGAAACCACGCAAGAGCAGGTGGTCCCGCACCTGCCCGGAATCCGGGTCCGCAATAAGGCTCTTCAGCTTGCATATTCGACATGGACATCTTATCTCCGTCTCGTTCTTTTGAAGCATCTCGGCCTTCGCGGAGCTCAAAAACCTATTCACGATGCCTTCAGTCATCGTGCGGACCATGGTCGCCTGCGGGGTAGAGCAAAACGATATGTTAGAACCAAGAAAAAATTTGGCATGACCTTCCCTAAAAATAGGACCCAAAAAAATGCATAGTGCCAAAATTCTCGCCGAAACGGAAATGAATCAAAACATTCCGGCAAAATATTGGCAACTATCGCATATTTCAAATACCGGTACCTTCAAACACAAACATATATGCAACACCACAAACACATGCAACACCACAAACATACATAGATCTAGCTAGGCCACAAAAAGTGCATGTGCACGTTGTTGGAGCGAGCTAGGGAGAAAAAAAAGTAGATCTATATCATGAAGATAGCTTTCCCTTACTTACCTATCAAAAAAAGGTAATTTCACCACTTAATTTTGTTGAATCTATGGTGGAAATGAGGTGAGGAGGAGGAGATGGCCGAAAGCTTGGAGAAGGAGGTGGATGGAATGAAGTGGGGAAAGTGAGTGGGTAGGTGTGGGCTGTCCAAAATATCTTGTTGGTCCCAGGTTACTAATGGCGCACCGTAGGAAAATGCGCCATTAGTAACCCTGGTTACTAATGGCGCATCAGCCTACGGTGCGCCATTAGTAGTTTTGCAAAAAAGTAAAAATAATAAGTATATATACTAATGGCGCATCTCCTCTGAGTGCGCCATTACTAGTTTAAACTAGTAATGGCGCACTGTGCCACGATGCGTCATTAGTAGTTTTGCAAAAAAAAGAATAAAACAAAATTTACAGTAATGGCGCACTGCCTGCTTGGTGCGCCATTAGTAGTTATAGATAGTAATGGCGCATTATGGACCCGATGCGCCATTAGTATGTATGGGAAAATGGAAAAAAAATAATTCATACTAGTGGCGCACCCTGTTTACGGTGCGCCATTAGTGTCTTCCACACTAATGGCGTATCACAAACAAGTGCGCCATTAGTATATAGTAGTGGCGCACTGCTTCCACGGTGCGCCATTAGAATCAATCCTATCTATAGCCCTTTTCCTAGTAGTGCCACCAACTGCTGACCGAGGCCACAGTGCTCCGCCCATGCATCTGGTCAGCCGGACGAGGCAACAGTGCCCCCCACCTACTTGCTGACTAGGGCTGGCGTGGCAACAGTGCAATCATTGTCACCCATGACGCCAGCAAGCGACGACCTGACGGAGCGCCATTGTAGCCGACTCGACTCGGCCACGCCCTGACGATCGACAAGACGGCGCACAGCACCCCTAGGCACATGGGGCCCGAGCCCGGGGAACCCGGCGGGACCTGTTAACCGGCGGGTCCCGGCACCGGGTTCCTGGACACTAACAACCCGGTCCTACGGCCTTGTAACATTACCCTTGTACCCCTGAGGGTTGACCTATAAAAAACCCCTAGGAGCCCTCATGCATACGGGCAAGCAAGCAATGCAATACACTCACCCATCCACCCACTCACACACCTAGCAAGCAACACCCGAGGGGAGGGAGCAGCCTAAGCCTTGGCCCGACCTCCTTCTTCTCCCATACAGCTCTAGGAGCAACCTTGTACTATTAGATATAAACCACACTCGGCGGGACTTTGGGTGTTATCTCTCCGGAGAGCCCCGAACCTGGGTATGTCTTGCGTCCCGCGCTTGCTCATGCCGACCTCGCCTCTGGAGCCCACCAATGCCCTCGAGCCTCCTCTCATCTTTAGCCATCCCTTGGCATCTGCCGTGCGCCCACCACGACACATACCATGACAAGTATCTCTCACACAAAAGCAGAGCATGGCAATTTTGTCTCACACACCCAAAAATACCCATGGCAATTTTATCTCTCACACACGCACATGCCATGGCAGTTTGTCTACCAGAAACACACAAAGCATGACAAGTTTGTCCCACATGGCACTTTGTGTCTCTCGCATGCATGTTAACTACATAGCAATTTTGTCTAACACACACATAAACCCATGGCAATGCATCTCACACACAAGTGTAAAATGGCAATTTCAACTCTCACACACACAAAACAGAGCATGGCAATTTAAGGCTATCACACACATACACCATGGCAATTTTATCTCTCATACCCACATTGTCATGGCAATTTCCTCTCCCACATGCACATATGTCAAATGCACAACATGGCATTTATATATTGAATAACTATGAGTAATCATGGCAAAAATAAGCCAAAAAAGATCATCCACGCAAACAAAAGTAACATGCTTCTACAACACACAGAAAAAGAGCATGGCAATTTAAGTCTATCACACACACATACACCATGGCAATTTTGTTTCTCATACCCACACTCCCATGGCAATTTCCTCTCCCACATGCACATATGTCAAATGCACAACATGGCATTTATATATTGAATAACTATGACTAATCATGGCAAAATAAGCCAAAAAAGACCATCCACGCAAACAAAAGTAACATGCTTCTACAACACACAGAAAAAGAGCATGGCAATTAATTTTTCTCACACATAAACCTGGCGTGTGTGTCTGAGTCAACGAGCCGTGGGTGCCAAATTTTGCTAAGCCAAATAATAAGAGTGAAAAATATCCAAATTTCACAACAGAATCATCAAACTGTAAATAAATGTGTCTCCTTACTTGGGTACATAAATTAAGCAGACGGTTTCAGTCTAGGAGGAATAAATTACAAGAAGATGAAGATGAATGATCGTCAGCCCAGGAAGGAGAGTACAGCGCTCGCCACAGCTTGAAGCAACTCCATGTGCGGCTCCTCCGGGACAATCCGTCCTGAGGTTATAGAAGCGAGAATGTTATCTTCCGCCTTGGTCACGCAGACCTTGCCGATAACACTGCCGGGCGCAACAAGTGTTGGCCGGTATCCCCAGCAGAAGTGGTATCGCTTGTGGAGATGCTGCAGTAACTTATGATTTTCCTCTTGGTAGCCCTCCAAGCTACATGTCTGTGTGCACCCGTGCACGGCGTCAACGAGATTCGCCGGACTGAGATTGTAGAACGCAAGACCATGCTCGCGGAACCAAAGCACGAGGCGTTGTTTGCATTGCCAGGCCCCAAGCAGTCCAGGCCCCCTTCCTCCTGGTGATGGTGAGACGCTCAAACAGCACATCCGCTCCCAGAGAAGACCAGAGTTCAGAACAGACAATGTTATCTCCGGGCGGTCGCGAGACAAAGTCGCAACGCACACACTCTTACCCATCTCCATTATGCCTGAAAACAGGGTGCCATCCTCTGGCGTGTCAATGCTGGTCACCAACTCGCTCTGCACATGGAACACGAGAAGTTTTTCCTTGCTGGATTGAGACCCGGTACCATCATCCCTGGGGGATAGCAGAACATAGCAGTTTCCTTCAATGCACAGCGAGTAGGTGTTGTTTTGCAATTTGTCCAAGTCGTGAGCCACATTAGGTAGAACAGTGACAGGCCTGCTGCCGTCGGTGCCGCTCAGGGTAAGGGGCACGACATGTACATCACTGCCACACTGAACGAACACTTTATACTTATCTTCCTTAGGATCATACCCGAAGGCGAGCATCCAGGAGAAGGTGCCCAGATCTAAGAGCTGAGCGGTCAAGTGTTGAGACGTTGCAGGATTGGCCACGAGACATGTCATAGAGGAATCGCTCAGCCCGCGCTGCTCGAAGGCAACAAGGCCGTTGCAAGACCCAAAGAACCTGTACGAAAGCTCGGTGCCGGCGACGGGCAGGCCGTGAGAGATAGGAAACGTGTCGCCGGCGGCAACAAGATAGAAGGCGTGCTTTCCCTCGAGCCCGTAGAGACTGAACTTGAACGGGAGCCTATGGCCGCGGTCGAGATAGGCTAGGCATACCTCCTTGCTGGGGCGCTGGTAGTGATTGGCCCAGAAGTCGCCCCCGGTCAAGATCTCCCTCCACCGCTTGGAGAGTACGACGCCACGAGCGGCGTCGCGAGCCGGTAGGTGGGAGAAGACAGCGAGGGGAAGCACGTCTTCCTTGGCGACGTTGCAGATCTTGCGACGCTTGCTGGACTTGTCCTCCGGCTCATCAACCACGCCGCCGCCTCTCTTCGTCCCTCCCCCCATCGCCTTCGTCTTCGTCGTAGATGTGGGAGAAACTTTCCCTTGCTTTTTCTGGGTAGAAGTTGGTAGGTGAGCGCAGTGAAAATGAGCCCGCCTCCACCGATAAGACAAGGTTATACTACGTAGTATGGGCTGAGACGACGCACCTGGTCTATGTACACAGACTGGTCCACCTGTCAGTGTAGAATTGTTCCGTTGGCTGGTGGGCGGTGGCCAAGACGGGGTATGAAGGTACAGGCCACTTGTTGAAGGTTCTCCTTTTCAACTGCTTGTATTGACTACCCTGTCAATCTTCGCAAAAGAAAATAGCGGGCATTTTAGTCGTGCCATTATAATTATAATGAAAGGAGCATTTTAGTTGTGAATGGCTAGCCCGGATCGTTAAATTTCTCCTGGCGCAAAGGTATCTACGGTTTGTGAAGTGATGCCAATTAGGTCATGGTGAATTTCCCCTCAAAAAAAATGTCATGGTGATTTTTTTTAAGGTCATGGTGAGATTGTAGCGACGCTTCTTTCAAAAAAAAAATTGTAGTTCACCCGAAAAAAAAGAAAAAAAAAGATTGTAGCGACGGAACAAGACAACAAGTCTTTTCTTCCTCCCTACCCGCGCGGTGTTTGCTCTAATGCTAGCCGGTCCCACTGCTCAGTGAAGATTGCGAGATGGACAAGTGCCAGCCCGCTCCGCGATTTCCTTTTTCTTTCTTTTGGGCGTGCCCTGGGCTTTCCTTGCCTAATGCCAACTCCACCGCGCGATCCTATTATGTCCGTCCCCGTTCGTTTGGGGTAAAAAAACAAACGAGACGGTTCAGCGCGCGGCCGCAAACGGATTTTTGTCCGTTTTGTGTTCGCTTTCGACCCATCCGCGGCCCAAATTTGCGTCGCTTTTGGGGTGAAATGGACACGAGGGTCGTCTGCACGTGTCCTCCCCTGACCGGCCCGTCGGTGGCACAACGCAGGCCTTTTTCTATCCGCCCCCTCCCTCCCTCCGGCCGTACCCCCTCCACTCTTCCTCATTCTTCCCCTCGCCGTCGCCGCCGCTGCCATTGCAGCCGTGCAGTTCGGACGCGACCTCGCCCAACCCCTTCCCCTTGGCGCCGCCGAGCTACCCAACCACGGCCACCTGGTTTGCGCACCCGCCGGCCGGTTTTGGGGCGGATCCGGTCGCTTTTGAGCTCGGCCGGCTGTGGGAGGTCGGGCCGCGCCATGGACTGGCCGGGCACCTCGCCGGAAGGCCCTGGCAGGGCCGCAAGGCCACATGCAGGCAGTGGCTCCTCCTCTAGCCGCTTGGATCTGCACCGTCGTTGTCCGCCGGCAGATACACGAATGGCGGCCGGCCGGGCTCGGTGCTTGCCCAAAAGATCGCCGGCGCACCGTTGCCACTCATTAAGTGCGACCACTGCCCAAGGATGGTCGTGCGCCGCGTGTCTACAACGCCGGAACATCCCGGATGGGTGTTCATCAAGTGCTTAAACGATGGGGTATGCGGGTTTTTTTTAGCTTCGGTTTGTGCTCTAGATTGACTAGTTGTACTAACTTCAAATTTTGTTGTGTAGAATGGATGCAAGTTTTGGTATTGGAAAGAAGAGTACATTGATATCTTGATAGAGCGAAATTTAGTACATGTTCGTGCACTTTTAGCTAGCATAGAGGCTGTAAATGAGACAAGTGCACTTGTTGCTAGATTAGAGGCTAGACACGAGACTAGGTGTGAGGAGGAAGTAACATCGACTTCTGGCTTGAAGAAGAAAGGAGGATGCCAGATCGAGCCTCCTCCTCCACAGATCAACAACGAGTGCATCGAGAAGGCCCTAACCCAACTCAAGGGAGTAGTTATGGAAGTTGGGTATCTTCTAAAATGTATTCTCGTGGTTCTTGTTTTCTTTGGTCTTGTTTTACTAGTCAAAATATGATGATGTATTTTTCATGTACCAAAAATAAATGATGAAATAAAGTTAAGGACTTGCAAAGAAATAATACGTGGACAGGATGCGGCTGGGATGCGTCCGTGCGCTGGGCGCACGGGCACCACATCCCAGGACACGTCCAGACACGACTCCAAATCCCTATCCAAACGGACAGAATCCGGATAAAAAGGATGTTCATTTGGGGTCACGCGATGGAGTTGGCCTAACAAGTTGATAACTTGCGTGTCAGGTCAGTATGCCAAGTGTGTTTCGGGCGGGACGACGACGGACTTTCTTTGTCATCAAGATAGCGATGGAGATGTTCTGGGAGCTGCTGCCGGTAAGATTCGTATCGCCCGGGATGCACTTCACCCCGAAGCTCTGCCATGCACCTGCGCAACCAACGCAGCGACGGACGAGGGAATGATGAACCTGGTCGTTGAATCTGATTCGCAGGTACTGGTCGTTGAGATCAAATAGTAATGACTACGACCTTGCTGCTCACAGGATGCTCTTCCAAGAGATTAAGGAGGATTTACATGCTACGATTGGATTCCAGCGATTGGATGCACTTCACCCAAATACAAGAAGCAACTAGAAAGAATGTTGAGAGGGTATTTAGAGTTTTTCAAGTCCGTTTTACAATTGTTTGTGGACATACTAAACAATGGGATCCGGATAACATGTTGAGTGATCATGCACAACATAATTATGAAGGATGAGGGTGGAAATGTTGACGCAGCTCTTGAATTTGGGAACATGCATGAGTCCATCAAATTTCAAGAGCAAAATCCGGCCACGTTTGATCAATTTGTTCGCTGCATTAACAAATTAGCATCAAGAAACTCATGAGCAACTAAAAGAAGATTGATTGAGTATTTGTATATTTCTGCTAGTTAAATTTTAGTTTTAAGTACTATAATTCGAATGCTTTATTGGATCGTAATATGTATCACTTGAATGTTTTAGCTACTTTTATGGATTGATATCATCTCTTACTTGGTACCACTTGAATATTTTAGCTTTGCCTAATATCACAACGCCTAAAGGCACATAATTGAAGGCATGGTGGAGAGAATGACAGTGCCACGGATCAGTGACTTGGCACAAATCCAGACCCCTACTGGATAGCCGCCGGTGGGGGCGACTAGGGTTCCCCCTCCTCCCCTCCTGCCGCCGGCCTAACCCCCCGCCACCGTCCCCTCCCGCCCCCCTCCTTCCCCCGTCCAGATCCGCCTCGCGTCGCCTCCTCGGGAGGTGGCCGAGGTGGAGCTCGAGCTCCTCTCCCGCGGGCTCCCTCCTCCCCTCTCCCCCGCTGCCGCTGGTGGACACTCCCGGCGCTGGCCCGGGTGGTGCCGGCGGCGGCGGGCATTCTTGTCCCCGCGCATGCGTGCTTCCTTCTCAGTGCAAGGAGGCGGCGGCGGTGCTCCTCGGTTTGGCTGCGGTCTGGCGGCGGTGCTCCTCGGTTTGGCTGCGGTCCGGCGGCCCTGCGACGGCGGCCGGCGGCAGGCGTGGTGTTGGCGCCGCTCCTTGGCGGCGGGGCTGTGTGGTGGCGCTGGGTGGCCGGTGTCGCGCCCCCGGCCCAGATCTGGGCCCATCGGGCTCCGTCTGGGTCCTAGCGGGCCACCCCCCATCTCGGCTCTAATTCTTCGTTGTGTTGTCCTCACTTCGCGGTGCCGTGGTGAGACGGCGTGGGGACCTCAAGACCGTGTTGGCGCAGGGTGGTGGTTGGTTTGGTGGCAGGCTCCAGAGCGCCCGAGGTGCGGGTTGGGATCGGGGGAAACCCCTGTCGGCATGGCCGACTCCGGCACAGTGGCGCCTGTGGGTGTCACCTGACCTATGAGGGCATCGGGGGCTACCCTTCCTTTCCTCTCGCCTCGTCGTGTACCGGGGAAAACCCTTGGTAGCAGTGTCGTCATCGTCGCGATCCTTCTTGGAGGTGCTGATAGGTGCCGGCGCTTCGGAATCTTGGAGCCTAGTGGAAGATCCCGGTGGGCGCAACGATCGCGAGGCTTCTTCGTTTTTGTTGATCCGTTGTTGTCAATATTTGTTTCTTTTGCTCTTTCTCTGTCGTTTCTTTTGGGCTGACTGTGCTGCTTCCGCCCCAGCATCTATCCCTGTATGGTTCGGTTGGTTGCTTTGTAATACAAAGTGGGGGAAACCCTTTTTCGGTAAAGGCACATAATTATCACCTCGTGACCATGTATACTTATCAAGGTAAATGTTCGCTGCTAAAATGGTTACGACGACTGACGGCGGTGACTTATTTATTTTTCATCGAAAGGCAAACGAAACCCTATCTCTCCTTCATTTAAAAAAAATCCATCTAAACTCAAGCCTATTGTGCCAGTAATGTTTCATGAGAGACCGGTGTTGGGGAACGTAGTAATTTCAAAATTTTCCTACGCACACGCAAGATCATGGTGATGCATAGCAACAAGAGGGGATAGTGTTGTCTACGTACCCTCGTAGACCGAAAGCAGAAGCGTTAGCACAACGCGGTTGATGTAGTCGTACGTCTTCACGATCCGACCGATCAAGTACCGAACGTACGGGACCTCCAAGTTCAGCACACGTTCAGCCCGATGACGTCCCTCGAACCGATCCAGCCGAGTGTTGAGGGAGAGTTTCGTCAGCACGACGGCGTGGTGACGATGTTGATGTTCTACCGACGCAGGGCTTTGCCTAAGCACCGCTACAGTATTATCGAGGTGGACTATGGTGGAGGGGGCACCGCACACGGCTAAAAGATCAAACAGATCAATTGTTGTGTCTCTGGGGTGCCCCCGCCCCTGTATATAAAGGAGCAAGGGGGGTGCGGCCGGCCAGGGAGGAGGCGCACCAGGAGGAGTCCTACTCCCACCGGGAGTAGGACTCCCCCCCCCCTTTCCTAGTTGGATTAGGACTTGGGAGGGGGGAAGAGTGGAGGAAAATAAGGAAGGGGGGCGCCGCCCCCCTCTCCTTGTCCTATTCAAACTGGGGGGGAAGGGGTGCCGGCCCAGCCCTAGACGCCTCTCCTCTCTTCCACTAGGCCCACTAAGGTCCATTAAGTCCTCGAGGGGTTCCGGTAACCTCCCGGTACTCCGGTAAAATCCCGAT